ACCCACCTGGCAGCAGGCATTGATATTATGATTTCACTGACTATATTCCTTATGTTTTACTTTACACCCTGTGACCATTTTGTAACCACTAATCTTTATTTCCTAATCCCTTCACCTGGCACCCAGCCCCCTCCCCTCTGGCCAACATCAGTCTGTTCTGAGCATCTATGAGTCTGCCTCTATTATGTTTCCTTGTCTTTAGATTCCACATATTAGTGAAATCATACGGTATTTGTCATTTTTTCCTGACTTATTTTACTTAGCATAATACCCTCTAGATCCATCCACCCTGTTGCAAATGGTAAAATGTCATTCCTTTTGATGGCTAAGTAATACGTCACTGTATACATACACCACCACTATTTTTAATCACTTGTCTATTGATGGCACTTGGATTTCTTCCAGATTTTAGCTATTGTAAATAACACTGCAATAAACATAAGGTGCATATGTCCTTTCAAACTGATCTTTTGGGTCTCTTCATATATATATATATATATATATATATATATATATATATACACTTAGAAATGAAATCACTGGGTCACAATCAGTTTCATTTTTTATTTTTTGAGGACATTCCATAAGATGTCATTGTGACTTTAATTTGCATTTCTCAGATGATTAGTGATGTTTAGCAGCTCTTCATACATTTATTGGCCAGCTGCATGTACTCTTTGGATAAGTTCCTTTCAGTTCCTCTATCCTCTGTCCATGTTTTAATTGTGTGTGTGTGTGTGTGTGTGTGTGTGTGTGTGTGTGTGTGTGTGTGTTGAGTTGCATGAGTTCTTTATAAATTTTGGAAATCAACTCCTTATTGAATATATTATTGGTGGATATTTTCTTCCATTCAGTAGGATGTCTTCTAGTTTTGTTGATGGTTTCCTTTGTTGTGCAAAGAAAAAATTAGGTTGACATTTATCCCCTTTTTTTAAATTTATTTCTCTTGTCAGAGGAAATATATTAGAAAAAATATTGCTTAGAGAGAAATGTGAGAGATTTTACTGCCTATGTTTTCTTTTAAGAGTTTTATGAGTTTTTTTAATCTTAAATTTACGTTTATGATCCATTGTGAGTTTATTCTTATATTCTTGTTGTAAGAAGGTGGCCTAGTTTTATTTTTTGCATGTATCTGTCCAATTTTCTCCACACCATTTATTAAGTATATTATCTTTACCCCATTGTATGTTCTTTCCTCCTTTGGCATATGGGCAAAGGTAGATTTATAGTTAAAATACAAATAAATAATACAATGACTCCTTTGGGCAAAGGTAGATTTATAGTTAAAATACAAATAAATAATACAATGACTGATAAATAATAATACAAGTATAAACTGTATTTTGTGCAGTCACAACTGAAGCATCCATCTTATATGAAAACTGCTGTTTGAAATTTTAACCCTGCTAAATGGATTCTTTAAATTCTTGCTTGCTAAGACTACTCCCACTTCAGCTAGACCATTAAACTTTCCCTAGACAAGGTTATCAGGGTTGGCGCCAGGCTAGGCCTCTGGTTGAGGTCTCAAGGCCCAGCACATATGGGCTCTTTAAGAACTTGAAAAAGGGGCTGGAAACGCTTCATATTTGGGAAACAAAGAAGTTAAAATCATATAAATAGGGAGAATTCCTGCATGTTGGGGCCCAGAATTTGAGATACATTTTCCTCTGGACCTTTGCATAATAAATGTAACTCCAACCCTCTAAGTATTGCTTTGTTCTTCTTTAGTTTTCTGTAACACAACTATAAAGCTACTGTTGCCCACCCCTGTATTAACTGACCATATAGGCATGTGTTTATTTCTGGGCTCTCTATTCTGTTCCACTGATTTCTGTGTCTGTTTTTATGCTAGTACCATGCTGTTTTGATTATAATATAGTTTGTTTTCAGATAGCAGGATACCTCCACCTTTGTTCTTTTTTCTCAAGAATGCTGTGGTTCTTCTGGGTCTTCTGTGGTGCTTCATAAAGGTTTGAATTGCTTGTTCCAGTTCTGTATAAAAGCCATTGGTACTTTATGAACAGGGTTTTTGCCTATTTTTACTAACTATGGGCCAGGGTTCCAGCACAGTGTCTGACACATAGCAAGTGCTCCATAAATATTAATAAAATTTACAAATTCATTTGATCTAGTGGTTTTTTGAAATCACCTGACCTTTGTATTTTGAAATCACCTGAAAAGCTTGTATTCATTTACTTTCTCTATATTTGTGTTTGGGTTCCATTCCAGACAATTATTGCAGAACTAGAGGTCCGATGCACAAAATTTGTACAAGAGTAGGCCTTCTTTCTCCCAGCTGCTGGCACTGGCTTTCCTCTAGCACCCAGAACCAGGGATTTGTCAGGAAGAAAGTCTGATCTAATTAGCATATTATGCTTTTACTAGAGGCCCATTGCACGAAGATTTGTGCGACAGGCCTTCCTCGATGCTGGCATCAGTTTTCCTCCAGCCTCTGGGACCCAGGCCTTCACTCCAGACACAGAGGAGAAGCCAAGCTTCTTCGGTCTTCACTTCAGTCTCAGTTTTCAGTCTTTGCTCAACATCTGTATATGCAAATTAGCCCACCATCTTTGTGTTAATCTGCATACTCACTCCTGATTGGCTGATGGGTGTCCTGGAAGTATTGTCAGTTTACATATTTCCCTTTTATTAGTTTAGATTATTATAGATAGCTAGGATATGGAATCAGGCACTGCTACTAGTAAAGCTTTCCAAGTGACTCAAATGCAGGATGCTTGGATGAGAACTAGTTATCTAATATCTCCTTGAATGCTTAATTCCTGCTGAGGGCCATCTGTAGGCATACTGAATGGAAGGAAGGCTATCACTCTGAATGCTATGCTAGATGTGAGTTTTAGGCCAATTCATTCCAGGTCCATGACTATGTCTCCTACATGGTCTTTCCAATTTAAAATCTAGTTGGGAGAAGGAAGAGTGGTCTCTGCATCACTGTGCTGACCTAAGCTCAGGCACCCCGATTCTCCTGTGATTAGAACCATTGTAATAAGTTGGATCAGAGACATTTGTGCTGTCAATATCTCTTTATAATGAAAGGAGTGACCTGTGGCCAGACTCACAGCTTCCCCAGAACCTGCAGAGGAACTACAAGGTGGAAATAACTTCCTAACCCTTCACATTTGCCAGACAAAGTCTGGCTCTGGATTCCCTGTTGGAGACCACATTAAAATCTGCCACCTGGACCCTGGCCAGGTAGCTTAATTAGTTAGAGTCTCATCCAGTATGCCAAGGTTGTGGGTTTGATCCCCATTCCAGGCAGGGTAAAGATAAGAATCAACCAATGAATGCATAAATAAGTTGAACAGAAACCGATGTCTCCTCTCCCCCTCTCCCCCCTTTTCAAGTCAGTCAATAAAAAAAAATAATTTTTTTTAAACTCTGCTGATTGGAAGTTTTTCTCGAATGACAATTGGAACACTGACTCCAGAGCAGCTCCTGCAATGAGAAAGGTCTTTTTACACATGCAAGTCTGTTCCCACTCTATACATAATGCAAGGCGGGCAATACAGAACTTGGAAGTAAATGCCTTAGTCAGCATTTGACCTCTGCCTGGTAGTTTCAGGGAACCTTTACTTTTTTAAATCTATATGGTTGGAAGGGGCAACACCTTTTAATTAGATGACTAAGATTTGAATCCAAACATTTCCCTTCTTTATCTCTTATTTTAGGTAAGTCTATGAAAATTCTCTAAGCCTCGAGGACCTTACTTGAAGGTAAAAGGTAAGCTTACCTTATTTTATCTTTGTGAAAACTACAAACCTTATACAGGTGAATGCACAGAGTATTCGGCAAAGAGTGTTGGTAAAAATTATTATTAAATACTTTCCCACTATATATATATAATTGGCCATTCTTTATTTTTTCTTTAAAATAATATTCTTAAACTCCTTTTTTAACAAAGACACAGCATTTGCTAACTTCTGAATTATTGATCCCAATAAATATAAAACCTAAAAAACATGGTACAAAACAAACAATAAATATAAAAACAAACAAAGCAAGTTAATAAGATTAAAAATTATATGTTAAAAAGTTAAATCATTCTACACTTTACAAAAGCAACATCAGTAATGCAATAACCAATTAGAATTTATTCCAGATTGCAAAGCTCAACATTGGAAAAATTACTAATGTGATTGGTCTCACTTATCAATGGGAAAATATACCTAAAAATTATTAGTATGAACTATAATTGATCCATGCACCTATTAAAATTACATACAAAATTATGTTTCTCAATTTGAAAAAGTTTATAACATTTCTTAGATATAAAATATCAGATATTAAGTATTTCAAAATTTAAAAATCAACTCTAAAACTATGTTTATGCAAAAATAAAAGCTAACATCAAGATCTGATTGAAAATATGCATATTTAGACATTTAATATCATATTTGAAAAATTACATAAAAGGCTTGTTAGGGTGTGTCTGTTCTTATTTTTATCACACATTGTAATGATACTCACCTAACATTTTATTGTGTGTATCTCTGGCTAGCAAAGTTATATATTTCCCTTTGTATTTTCTTACTTCTATTCAATAGCATTTAATATTTTTAAACATTAACAACACTGATTTAACCGTAAAAATTAAACCTATCAAGGAAAATCTTAGTAGGTTTCATTCATTCTTATTATAAAATGCTATAATAATAATAATATTTTTGTAGCTGTTTGTGTGACATATATGAAACACTAAAAATAAAACAAATTTATTTTATGTACTTGTTTGTTTGGTGGTGTTTTTTAAAATATTTTCTCAAAAGCCTCTCATGAGAGGTAAGGAGGAATAATGTGGGTTGGGGGAACAAGAAAAACCATAATTTGAATATCCATTTTGTGCCGGGAGACTTATTTCATCCCACTGAAACCCCTCTCTCCACCCTCCCTCTGAGCATTGTCTTATACATGCTCTCTGCGCATGGAGGTACACTATCTGCCATTCCCCATGGCTGTGTTGTAGAATCAGTCACGCTACTCACCAACTCTTCGATTGAGCTGAGCCGGGCTGTGAGTCCCAGTGAGGTCTGATGAACTGGAAAAGGCCATTGGAGAAAGCAGAGATGCTAGTGGGTCATCACAGTTGTCTGAAATGACAGGAGAGAAAGAGGGCACATTCTATGAGGAAGAGGTAGCCATAAGGAAAGGAAACATTGATTAACACTGATTAACACCTGCTCTGAACAAGGCCAGCACTACTCATTTCCATGTGCTATTTCATCTCCTCTTCACAACAACCTCGAAAAACATTTATGTGTTTCCTCCACAGTTGGAGAAACTAAAGTTCAGAGATGTTAAAGATATTTTGTCCAAGGTCACAACACTAGAAAATAGTGTGCCCAGAATTCTCACCCATATATGTCTAATTGTAAAACCCAATTATCTGTCCATTCCTGAGTCAACTATTTCAGCAAAGCCTCAAGTTACAGCTATTGAGCTTATTCCATAAGAAGGAAGAGTTTTAAAGGGAAAAGCATTGTTGAACTACACTCTCATATTCAGGCTACAGGGACCTTTATAATGGTGGCATCTAGAGGGATAGAATAATTGAGATTTCTCATACTCCATTGTGTGAAAGTCTTTGGAAAACGAGTTCCTAGTTTTAATTGCACAAAGTAATAGAGAACAGTCTTGATCTTGCACAATCTTTGATGTGATATTCACTTCAGTAGTCACCTATCCAGCCTTCCCTAAATATGGTAAGTATGCTTTCTAAAGAGTCTTTGATGCAAACACAGTGTGGAACACAGTAGGGCAGAGGTGTATTCTCAACAATGACAACATAGATACGTTCTCCCAGATTGTCTCTCATGCCCTGACTACCCAGTCTTCTGTAGAGTATGCTGCTCTTCATATAGCATGTTGGTCATCTAAAAGGCATGTAGTATCTTATTCATCTCTGTGTGTCCTCAAATAGGGGGCATGACCTTTGCTAACCTTAACCTTAAGTTTCAGGAACATCCTACACTTTTCATAACGTCTTATGTAAAGAATGGAATGAATGGTGAGGGAAGGAAGAAAGGAAGGAAAGAAGGCATTCACATATCAGTACAAACACTCTTTTCTTTTTTTTCCATTTTGTTTACAATTGCTCTTGTAGGGCATTGCAAAATGACTTCATGAAATCTAGACATGCGTCAGTCAAAACAAATTAGGAGTGTGTTATTCAGTTTTTAAAAAAATATATTTTACTTATTTTTTACAGAGAGGAAGAAAGAGGGATACTGAGCCAGAAACATCAATGAGAGAGAAACACTGACCAGATGCCTCCTGCACAGCCCCTACTGGGGATGTGCTGGCAACCAAGGCACATGCCCTTGACTGGAATCCAACTTGGGACCTTTCAGTCCGCAGGCCAATGCTCTATCCACCGAGCCAAACTGGTTTCTGCTAAAGGTAAATTTCATGTCATTAATGGCTTTCATCAAAAGTCAATTTGACCTTTTTATTTTTTTTAAGAAAATACACATAAGATTATGAGGTTGATTATTTATCCAGAAAATTCTGAGGGAGCAGCATTCATCAAATTGCAGGAACATTAATGAAAAAACACAGGATTAATTTTTCTGTTGTGAAATGTGTTTAAAAATTAACTGGCAGATCATATTTTGACCTTTTCCCAACACAAATGTTTGAGAAATATTTTGAGTTATTTGACCAACCCAGACCAGAGCCAGATCCTCACCAACAAGGAGTAACAAAAGCCACGGCCACGGCCCTCAGTGGACAGGGTCATCAGGAAGAGAAATCTGAGCTACAGCCACTTTTCTCTTGGCAAAGGTGCAGGTGAGGGAGGTGCAGACACACCTCCAAGACATTTGTTCACACCATACACTGGGGAACAATTTTAACATACTTCAAGCCTTGCACTTGTGTACGCTTGCTTTATCGTCAGAGAACAGCAGGTGAATGCAGGAAATGGACATGGATTGGACGGAGCCCACAGCATAGTTCCATGCACAAGGCATGGGCACATGCAGCAGACACCACGGAGGATCCTGTCGGCGCACAGCGGGCACTGAGCCTCACTGCCCACGTGCAACCACAGTCATCCTCTGCTTTCAAATAACACTGCTCCCTCACCTCCCAATAACCATGGCCCCACACAGCACTCTCACCAGCAAACTAAGATCTTTCGCAGGTAAAAGACGGTACTTATTGTAGAATCTCTGTGTTTCTTAACCATGTATTTTGTGAACCATTATCATTAGGTTTGTGTCATCTTTCTATGTGTCACTGATGGCATTTTCAGTATTATGTCCCTTACCCTGTTTTCCCCTGAGGAGAACTACAAGTGAGCTAATCATTTCAATGTAATTCAGCCCAACAAGTATGTACAGGATCTTACTTCATGCTTGAACTTGGTTAGGAATTGGGAATAGATTTGAGAACAAGTAAATGTCATAGCTCAAGAAGTTCAGAGACTATTAAGAAATATATTATAATAGCCCTGACTGGTTTGGCGCAGTGGATAGAGCATCGGTCTGTGGACTGAAAGGTCCATTCCGGTCAAGGGCATGTACCTCGGTTGAGGACACATCCCCAGTGGGGGGTGTGCAGGAGGCAGTTGGTCGATATTTCTCTCTCATGGATGTTTTTATCTCTGTCCCTGTAAAAAATTAATAAAATATACTTTTTAAAAATATATAAAAGCCCTAACCGGTTTGGCTCAGTGGATAGAGCATCCGCCTGTGGACTCAAGGGTCCCAGGTTTGATTCCGGTCAAGGACATGTATCTTGATTGCGGGCACATCCCCTACTGGGAGTGCACAGGAAGCAGCTGATCGATGTTTCTCTCTCATCAATGTTTCTAACTCTCTATTCCTCTCCCTTACTCTCTTAAAACAAATCAATAAAATATATTTTAATAAAGAAATATAACGATGTAAAAAAGTAAATAAACTGATGGAGAAGTTTAGGAGAGTTTCACCAAAACCACATCCCGGCCAGTGAAATGGGCACTCCCGATCCAGAAGCCCAGATCCATCCGCTCCTTCAGCCCTGCGGTCCCTCCTTCAGGGAGCACTGCCACGGGCAGAGAAGTTCCCAAAGCCGCTGGCCCTGCAACATCAGCTGCCATTGCCCACTGCCCAGCCTTATTCTTTTTTTTTTTTTTTTTAAATCAATCTTTATTGTTCATATTATTACAAAGGTTCCTCATTTCTTCCCCCCTCCACCAGGTTCCCACCCCACCCTCTGCCCACTCCCCATCCCCCATTGTCCTCATCCATAGGTGCAGTTTATGTTCAGTCTCTTCTTCCCTCAATTTCCCCAATAATAAATCCCTTTTCAGATAGTAAATCAGTTACTTAGCATTTTCTCATATCAATAATACCTCCACATGCCCAATGATACACTTCACACAAAAGACATTTCCCAATAGGTCCACCAGCCTCATCCAGGCCCCACCCAAGGCACTCACAGATCAACACCCCAGCCCTATACTAACTCAACACATCCAGATCTAAGCCTTCATCACTTGATTCAGCAGACCCTCAAGTTCCCACGAAAGTTCCCAGCCATGTCTGAGAAGCAGCCGTGGGGCAGGGGCAGGCAAGGAGCGAGCTGTTCTGGGCCTGGTTGCTCAGGGCCTGGCCTCTGTTGCTCTGGTTCAATCCACAACCAGCTGCTCCGGATCTGGTCACTGCCGCTCCCGACCTAGTTGCTCTGGACTTGGCTGCTGCTGCTCCGGGCCTGGCCGCACCAGCCCCGCCTGCTCCCCCGGGCCTGGCCGCTCCCAGCCCGGCAGCCGCTGCTCCGGGCCTGGCCGCACCAGCCCCGCCTGCTCCCCCGGGCCTGGCCGCTCCCAGCCTGGCAGCTGCTGCTCCGGGCCTGGCCGCACCAGCCCCGCCTGCTCCCCCGGGCCTGGCCGCTCCCAGCCTGGCAGCCGCTGCTCCGGGCCTGGCCGCACCCGACCCGCCTGCTCCCCCGGGCCTGGCCGCTCTCAGCCTGGCAGCCGCTGCTCCGGGCCTGGCCACACCTGACCCGGCTGCTCTGGGCCCGGCTGCCCCGGGCCCGGCCGCTCCGAGCCTGGCCACTCCTGACCTGGATGCTCTGGGCTTGGCTACTGCTGTTCTGAGTCTGGCTGCTCCCACCCCGGCTGCTCTGCGCCCGGCTTCTCTGGGCCCGGCCACTCCGGGTCTGGGTGTTCCTGAACTGGCCACCCTGGGCTTGGCCGCCTCCGCCTCATGCCTGGCTGCTACTGCCCCAGGTCTGGCTACTCCAGTGTTGGCTGTTGATGCTCTGGTTCTGGCTGCTGTTGTTCTGGGGCCTGGCCGTTGCTGCTCCGAGTCTGGCTGCCACTGCCTTGTGCCTGGCCACTCTAGGCCTGGCCGCCGCTGTTCCAACATTCTGTCCTTTTTTTTTTTTCTTTTTTCTTTTTAAAACACATTTATGTTGCAATGTTGGCTGGTGAGTTGAGTTCTGACTTAGTCTTTGATTTTTCAAGATCTTTGTATTCTTTCTTAAGTAATTTTATTATTTTTTGCTCTCACTTGATTTCTTCACATTGAGAACTTCTTTGGTTTCTTCCTCCTTGTCCTGGGAGCTCAGCAGGTTGGCCTGTGGCACCCCTTTGTTCTCCGCGGGCTCCTGCGCTGCTTCAGCCTGTTGCAGGGACAGCGCCGCCCAGGAAGCAGCCCCGGGCCTTGGCTCCATTGCCAGAGCTCAGTGGTCAAAGGCTCAGGGGTACCCACGCCCCCAGGGGCCCCGTGGCCCGCCTCCTTGCTGGTGCCCGGTTGGCTGGAGTCCGGCAGGGGCTTCCGCTCCCCTCCACGTTCCCCCAGCCTAGAGCTTTTTTTTTTTTTCTCCTTCCCGCTAGAGAAGTCCAGCATCAGAGTCAACAGACTGTCCTCTGCGCGCAGTTTGCGAGAGTCCCGGGGGCCCGGCCTTTTGCCGCTCTCCCCAGACTCCACCTCACAGCCCCATCTCCCTCTGCCTGAGCCTGGGTCCCCAGGGATTAGCCCAGAACTGGGGTTCGGAGCAGTCCGGACTGAGGCTCAGCGCCGCCAGAGGCCTTGTTTCTTCCGGCTAGGGTAACCCAGCATCAGAGTCAACATTCAGTCCTCTGGGCGCATTGCGCGCGACT